GGGGCGCAGGCGCGGTACGCCCTGCCGCCCGCGCGGCTGCCTTCTCCGCATGCGCGGTGTCTGCTCCCGGTGTGACCCTGCAGAGTTCTTGGAGCCTGAGAGCCTCTGGCTCTCCCAGCGGAAAATTTTCCTTTGGTGACAGTGTTGTGGATTCTCCTCTTCCCCCACAATGAGGGAGGGAAGTATCCACATTCCTTTCCCCACGCCCCCGCCTTCCAGAACGAGGGCGAAATCCAGAAGGAGGGCAAAGGGCAAGGACTCACAGTAACTTACCCCTCTCAGCCAGGGGTACTTCTCGGCCTCAGGTGCTGCCGCTCTCTGAGTTAAACGCTTTCCTTTGTTTTGGTGAAGTGGCTAGATTAGGGTCTGTTGATACACAGATCTTAATTACGAGCTTATATGTTTGCCCCCTGGAGACTGGACTATGACGTGCTTGTTAGTAGCAGAGCCAGGGGTGAATTCTCTCCCCGCCAACCACCTTCTCTCCAGTTTCTAGCATTTTAATTTTCCCTTCAATGTTAAAGTAGTCGAAAAAATATTGAAAACTGGGTGTGTTAAAACTCATATTACTTTAAGTTAAAATATAATTTTTATACCGAAACCTGACATTCTTGGCCTTAATGGAAGAAAGTACCGATAATAATTTTAAAATATATTTCTTTGTGTATCTCGTTTTCAATGGCGAGAATTGCCATGTTTTACAATTTTCACGAGCCAGTAAATACCTTTAATTTTTAATTACCTTAAACTTACAGAACCATCTTTCGCAGGACCCCAACATTGTGACTAGTATTATTTTAAAAAATACATAAAGTCTGCTTCCAAATTTAGATTAGATAATACTAAGCAAAATTTGTGAATCAATTTTAGAAGCTCGAAACATAGTGGTGATTTTTAAGATACGAATTGCTGATACTGCATGCTGCTTAAAAATCACTGAAGATGAAATTTCAGCAGTAATTAAGTCGTCAGAATATTTAAGAACCAAGTTAGTGGTGCTTGCTATAAATCAGATATATTCATTGAAATTAATTTTCACCAATTAAAATCTGAAGACAATTTAGTTTTTTATATCTTCATGTCAAAGGTGAAATGAGAATGTTTGTATACCATAATATTTTTAAGTATGTCTATTTCCCATAATAATTGATCATTTAATCCAGTGATTGACAGTTCCAATTTCTTTATTTCTTTTGTTGTTTGTTTATTTTCTCCTTCAGGTGGTACAATTCATATGTCTTGCTGAAGGTTTATATGCATCAAGCATACTTGCAAATTTACTTTCTTTTGTTGTAAGCAAGGGGATAGGCCTTCAAATAAACATGAAGCTTTATATATTGGCAGGTTTTCTCATTGAAGGATTTGTGATCTTTTTCCATTGGTTTCAAAATATAATCCCACGCTGATAAATTGCGTAAAAATATGTGATCTACTTGCACCAAGATGGTTTTGATTTTAGCATAGTGTATTTCCTCATTCGATATTACATATATTAGGATTGGGTGAATGTTAACTTACATGAGAAGTGCCCTGATTGCATCTGACCTTGATGTCCGTTGGGGACGTTTCTGTGTCTGTAATATTTTTAAAACAGAAATGAGAATAACTCATCTGCTTGTTGAGTTTGCAAAACAAATTGAAAGTCGTTTATAAAATACGTTAAACAGTTATATTTGATTTCATAGAAGCAGAAGTTTTGCATATAAAATTATGAGCAAGTAAGGCACAAATGTGGGATAATAATTTAAAGGGAGGAAATGGTGGCTTCTACCCTGTTATAAATCTGCTGTAATTTCTCCATTATCATTTTTCTGGCCACGAACATATATATGTCAGTATTATCTTCTTCCAATTAATAATTTCCTAAGCTTATCCATATCAAATTTTTCTTTCATTTCAGTAAAGTGGATACATCACTCTTCTACTGTTATGACAGTATAGTACTCTTTTTTTTTTACATTTTTTTATTGAGTTATAGTCATTTTACAATGTTGTGTCAAATTCCAGTGTAGAGCACAATTTTTCAGTTATACGTGAATATACATATATTCATTGTAACATTTTTTTCGCTGTAACAGTATAGTACTCTTAATGTGAACATAATTTATAATCTGACACATTATGTTGGATTGTATCTGTTTTATGATAAAAAAGTAAGGAAGAGTGTTTTCTTTCTTATATTTTAAAAGGTTTTTCAGGTCTAATGAGATTTCCTACTAGCATTATAAATTCCTTTTAAATTCTGTTACACAAAAAGGGCCAGATCTCTATCATGAGCTACATCAACATTATTATAAGCTATAAATTCATCTGAATCTGGAGAGATTCTGGGGTTTAGGCTTCCAGTGCTTTCTTGTGATCCTCCAAGGAGTATATTATCTCTTGCATGAAACATAACAACATCAAAGTCACTGGCAAAGTATTCTGCCTTTTTTATTTCTCTGATTTTGTCACTCTGATAAGCATCATCTATTAATCAGATTGAGTATTTTTAAAACCCTCCTGATTTATAAAATACTGTGATGAAACGTTGAATCTTTGTGGTCACGAATTCTATTTACATTCTTCCAATCTTTAAATGTTTTTTGACTTGCAAATATTTGAATTACTGCCCCTAAAATGCACATGGCAATAAAATAGAGCCACAGATTCTTTGGAATAAGACAGCCAGTAAAAATGAATCAATTTTAGAATATTTTCTTACAAAAACCAGTCTTTTGAAAATGTTCAGCCATCATGTTGTCAACTGAAAAAAATGTACAACTTAAAAGTTGAGTGTTATGTTTTATTCAGTGGACTTTCTGAGGACTTCAAGCCCACTAGACAGCTTCTCAGATTGCTCTAAGGGACTGCTCCAAAGAGACAGGGGAAGAGCCAGGATTTATGAGGTTTTGCAACAAACACCAGGTGGTTGGAACGTCAAAAGATTACTATTAATTAACAAAAACCAGATATCTCAAATTAGGGAATTTAGCGCTTTTCTATATATGGGAAGATAGAAGAGTCTGGGCTCATTGAAATCATCACTTTGATATGCACCTTAGCTATCTAGGGCCAGCATCCTGTTCTTACCGATCCTGAGTCTCTCAGGGTACAACGGTGGGGGTGATTATAGAGGCTGAGGACTTGGGAGTGGGCAGCCTGCTTGTCTCCATCCTGAGTTCCCTCCAGCTCACCGTCGGGGCGGCAGTATGGCTGATGGCTTGATGGCCATAGCATCCTTTGTTTATGGATATGGCAGGTGGCATTCTTAGTCCACAATGTGAAACAGATCCTCTAAAGTCTGAATCTATATCCAGTTTAGAGAGACCAACCTTTTAGAGAAGTGTTGCAGGTCACAGCCATACAGACCCCAAACCCCATCATATAATATACAATAAATAAATATTACACATATATTATATACATAGGTGTGTAATTTTCTATTGTATATTATAATGTAAAAAATAGATGTTTTAAAGAAAGTATACATTAGTTTGCATTATTTACTCTTCAGGGACAAACTTGCTATTATTTAAATAAAACCACTGCAGGAGTAGTTAACAGTGGCAGGAAACCTCTGTAACTTTAGGGTCTGAAAATCACGGGATTCACATATAGGCACAGAAAATTACAATTCTGCAACCTTCAGGATTCAGAAGAACTCTGTGAATGGAAGACTCTCCATTGGCCGTCTTTTATAGAATAGAACAACCACATCCTCTTTTACTTACTTCAGCTTCTTCAAGAAAGAGTTCCTTGTCCAACAGAAAAACACTGTGTACTATTCTCCAGGGTGTTTCTTTTTCTGTTTGTCCATTTTTAGTTCAGGCTTAGTACAGTCATGTTTTCCATTTGGATTATGATAAAGTTCTCAGTAGTGAGAGGTGTCCCCAGTGCAAGGTCTTCTATCAAGATTGTATATCCCTGTGCGCCTTTAAAACTGAATTTGAAACAAAAACAAACAAAAAAAAACTAGCTGTGGACCAAAGGAAATAAAACCACTTTTTAGGGGGGAAAAACCCCACTAAATTTGTGGGTCCATTTCTTCATAAAATATTTTGTAGTTCTTAGAAGTTTGCATAAGCTCTTTACTGAGATATGTTTCCTTATATTACTAAAAGTTTTCTGATGGCAACAACAACTTCACTTGAGTGCTTTCTGGGTGTCAGGCACTACCCTCGCTAACTTCTTTATTTGCAATACCATTTAATTCTCACAACAGTCCAATGCAATAAGTTCTATTATTATCTACGTCTTATGGTTGAAGAAATTGAGAAACAGAGACCAGCTTGTTCAAGGTCATACAGCTACTAGGTGGCAAATAAGTATACAATACAGCATTATGGAAGGGACTGGAAGCCAGGAGATCAGGCTTCAAGGCTTCAAGCATTTGAGCACAGGTGCACTGGAGCCAAGTGCTTACAGCCTAACAGAGACACGTGACATCAAATGGTGTTATAGGTGCTGGAATAGAGGGATGTACAAGGAAGGGCCAGTGGAGCAAACAGGTGGTAAGCAAGTGCATAGAAGAGGAACTGTAGGTTCCTCTGTAGGAACTGTATGTAGCA